TAATGCCCTGAGCCTCTAGCAGTTTGGTGAATGTGTGTGTGTGTGTGTGTGTGTGTGTGTGTGTGTATTTCTTCTCAGATGATGCTTATTTTGTTTCATTTCTTTTGGTCTTCTGGTAGTGGCGTCCCATGCTTGCTAGGTACTTTACCACTTGAGCCACACCCTCAGCTCTATTAGACAATGTTTTTAAATAGAGTGAATGAGAACACAGAGGCTTAAGATGGAAACAAATTTTACTGAAAAATAGGCATCCATGGATTTACAAAATTAACTTTGGAATGTAGCAATTTCTGTGCATTCTTACAGATAAATTAATTGATAAGATTTAAACTAGATTTCATTGAACTAAAAGTTTTCCTAATTTGTAAGGTAGCTCAAAAACTATCTTGATCAAGTATTTGTAATTGTATTATAACTATTTGAAGAACTATTTTTTTTCTTTTTCTTTTCTTTTTAATTGCTTGGTTGGGGCTTGAACCCAGTGCCTGGGTGCTGTTCTGAGCCTCGTTGTGCTCAGGGCCTGTGCTCTACCACTTGAAACATGGCACCACTTTGGACTTTTTCTGAGTAAATTGGAGATAAGTGTCTCACAGACATCCTGTCTGGTCTAGCTTCACCAGGATCCTCAGATCTCAGCCTCCTGGGTAGTTATGATTACAGGTTTGATCCGCCAGTGCCCAGATTTCAAGAACTCCTTAGCAACAATCAGAATATGAAAATATCTATTCTATTGTTGACACATACTGTCAAAACTAAGGTAGTCCTTGGTATTCCAACTGAATTTGTTCTAGAATCCCTGTAGTCATCCAAATTTAAGGATGTTCCTCTCTCTTCTCTCTCTCTCTTTCTCCCACTCCCCTCTTCTCTCTCCTTCATGCTGCTTCTTGGATTTGAACTCAGGACCTGGATAATCTCTCTCTGTCTCTCTCTGTCTCTCTCTCTCCCCTTCCCCTCTCTCTCTTCCTCACTGGCTCACTGGCTGGTTCTTGGGCTTGAACTCAGGTCCTAAATGCTGTCCTTGAGCACTTTTTCCTCAAAGCTAGCACTTTACCACTTGAACTACAGTTCTATTTCTTGCTTTTTTTTCCTGGTTAATTGTTGATACTTTCCTGTCTGGGTTACCTTCGATTTGTGATCCTCTAATTTCAGCCTCCTGGGTAGCTAAGGTTACAGGTATAAGCCACTAGCTCCTGGCCTCTTTCTTTTATAAAATGTTATATTTGTGTATAACTAAGGCATAACCTCTCCTCTAACTTTAAGTCACTGTCAGATAATTTATAATACCTAAAACATGTAAATAATATATAAATGGTTTTTATACTGTGTTACCAGAACCAACAAATCTAGAGGGCTTGTGATACTGGGCTTTACTTTTTATATTTCATAAATGGAAGAAAGTGTTGTTTCATTCTAAAAGTTAGTGGAGGCTAATATCTAATTATTTTTCCTTCTAGATGATGGAATTTTGAATTGTTTGCAGAGCTGTACCTTCCCTATTCTGTACTGTATGCTACATAGCTCTGCTCTAGTAAAAGAGATTTTTAAGCATTTAAATATTTTCATATCTACCAAATTAGGACTGTGTAAATTACTGGTAGGGGGCCCTTTTTGCTTTATGCTGAAAGCGTATTTTGTTTTACTGGTGTTGTCAAGTGTTCTGGATTATTCTCCTAAATGTTTAACGTAAAAATCCTGGTAGATATGAAACAGGTAAGAGGGAAGAGTACACACAAACACTATGTGATGTGGCATTGAAAGAAAATCCAGTATGTAGAGCTTCATTTTAAATTAAAAGATATTGTATAAATAGTATTGTGATGAAATACTCAAATGAAGGCCCTGTGGACTTAAAAAAAATTCATAATGTCCATTTTATTTCAATGCCTTCAGCTCTTTACTATTTGACTGAGTAAAACTGAAAAAATCCCAAGCTCTATTATGTGCCTTACTCAGTATATTTGCAATATGTTTTCAGGACACATAAATAGAAATGTTCATTTTAAAAATTACTAGAACCAAAAAAAACAACTTATTGTATCATGCAAAAATATCATATTTTCAAAAAGTACTGTGTCATAAATAGGCCTCTACTGCTGGTCATTTGGTTTTGACCTCTTTTTCATTTAGACCATTTGATATTTTATAGGATGAATACAATAGACTTTGAGACTAAGAATAAAATACTATTTAACACTACATTTTATTAAATAGATTCTGTTACCATACTTTCTTCAATTAAAAAAGAATAGCTAGAAGTAAGACTATCTGTTGGAATTTTAATGCCTATTCTCATTTTCTAGTAGAAATGTGTTAAAAATGGCAATTATGATTTCAGTAATAACAATGTATTTCTATATTCCTACTTGATACTTAAAATCCCAGGTTGTTTCTATCTCCTAAAGTATTTAGTGATTATTTTTATAAAATATTGAAGATATTATATGAGGTGCTCTTTCTTCTTTCCCTTAAGGTGAAATAAATCAACAATAAGGAAACCATATTCTCAAAATGTATATGCCTACTTTCCACAGGCTTTCACAAGTTTAGGCAAGCTAACTATCATTCTTTTGAGATATTTTGTCAGGACTAAAGGCAGGTGTTGCAATGGCTTTATTTTGTACTTCCATACCATGTTACAAAAAAGAAAATTTTGTTTAATATCCATGAAAAAATAAATGAGATAATTTCTAAAACTACAAGAAAACTTTTGAATATCACTTTATACTCAAGATACTGTAAACCTTACCTAATCCTCCTATATATTTCTCTTTTATAATGAGGTCCAAGCCTTAACCATGTAGCTTGAAAGCATCCATAATCTTTTAAACCACCCATACAAGAAAAATAGTTGAAAGGGCAAAAGAGATTGAAATAATCATGGAAACAAATGAATGTAAATGGAACTACATATTCTACCAAAACACCCCAAAATTCATAATGTCAATAAAAAACACAGATAAATGTAAAAAAATACTCCTTATGTGTATATTTTCTGATATGTATATATATGTGCATATATGTATGCATATCATATCTGTGAGTGAATTAATTCTATTATAGGAAGTTTTAATCTAAATTAAGAAAGAAAAATCAAGGAATACATGTTATGTACTCTCTATTTTTGCCCTCTCTTCTCCTAATGCATCAAAAGTTCATTTTATTATATTTGGACCACTAAAGTATATAATAAAATAAATATTTTAGTAAATAAAAAGTTTATAGTTTATAAGACACAAAAAATTGAACACTTCTTTCTGTCCTCATGAACATCATATACTTGTTGAATATAGTGAGTGTATGGTCACTATGTCTTTATTATTCTACATAGTTTTCCATACACAGTATTTAAAATTTTCTGATTAAATTATATTTATGTAGCAGATAGCAGATATAAAGCCTTATTTAGGAAAGTATTTTGAATTTTAAAAAGCTGAGTTGCAGAAGTTTTACCTAATTATGATATATGAGGAGTAAAATGTAAAAGAAGAAAACTAAGAAATTAGGTAGAATTCATACTTTATATCTTTCCTTTCTTATAAAAATATGAATTAGCTAAAAAATTAAATCATGAAAGAAGAAAACATGAAAATAGTATTATAAAATTTGTGAAATCTTGTAACACAGAATTTTACATTTCCATTTTAAATTTTAATTCACAGATTGGTACAAGCCATATATGAGTATATTAAAAGAAACATACTTAACTGCTTCCCTACAATCTTTTATGAAGAGTTCCTGCATGTAAGCATAACTCTTAGGGCCAAAGTTGAACAAGTTTTTCTTGGGAACAAAACTAAAAAGAACAAAAAAAGTAATAAAGAATAGAGTTATTGCAAGTCATGGAATGTTAGCTTAGGACATCAGTCATCTCCATCATCTGTTTGATTTTAAAATTTTATTACAAACAATGTGTAATTGCTGTAAATATTTTCCCACTGAGAAGAGACTATCATAGATAAAAGTACTTTTCCTAAAATTTAATTTTCACAATTCATTTATTCCTGTCGTTTAACCATTTGGTCTTTTCCAGCAGATCCCTGAAGTCTCAGGAACCATGAGAATATTCCAAAAGAACAAAGAGCAACCCTTCGCTCTCATCCCAGCCATGGAAGTCATCTTCATTTCAATTAATTTACTTTGGCTTTATGAACTTAAGAGTCTTCCAAGGAGGCTGACATTTCACTCATCTGAAAAAATTTGGAATGTGACAGGGGAAAGGGAGGAGAAGTAAATCAAAGGAGTTAGCAATTTTCCAGATGCAATGGATTTTTCTTCTCTTCATTTCTACCAGAAATTTTAGACATCTTAATTCTCTATTGAAAACCACAGTAGCAAATGCTGCTGAAGACATATGTCAAGAAAAAAAAACCCTCACACATACATCAGAAATTTTTTTAAATGTTACTTTCAGTGTATTTTATGGATGCAGGTCAATGAATATAATTTTAGTTTCAGAAACAAAATTTTAGTTTTAGAATGCTGGGTCATGTGTTGTTCTTTGGTTGCTTTGGTTTATTGGCATTGTTTTTGTTAACTAAGTCATTGAGGTCCATCTTTGCTTTTTCATTAAGACACAGCATTTATTAAAACTGTCCTCATGACTCTATTTTCAACCACACCGGAATATTTCAGTTATCGCCTTCAGCCACATGGTTTCAGGAAACTGTGCCTAGATATTTCATGCAAATGCTGCTGGTCATTTCAGAAAAGATCTTCTTTCACTGAGTGGAAATTCACTAAAACATCTAAAAGTTTAAAAAAGAAAATATTTTTTTTGAGGCTTGAAGATAAATTCTCAGCAACAGGGAATATGATCATTGCTTCTGGGAGCCAAAAGGAGAAATGGCAGTTAACTCCACAAAACACTCTAGCTCAATATTTACCTGACAGCTTTGGTATCTTGACATTTTCCCCAGTGTATTTCCTCCTTTATCAGGTATCATTTTACAAGGGATTTCTTGTTATACAGAACTAACATAAATCAATCTAGAACAGAGGAATTTGTTTAATACATTTATTCTTTTAAGAAGTTGCAAGACCATATTTCATTTGACTTGTACAATAGGGGAGGAAAAAGTCATACTACTAAAACAGAGTTTCTGGAACCCGGTGCATGGTAAACCTATTTAGTCTCTTTAGAGGTTCACTCTTAGATTTTAACGTTAAATAATAACAACTATTCATATAAGCGGGTCTCACTGTATATCCTGACCTTTAGCAAATCCACACACAGCAGCTTATTGTGGTATCCTTTAAATATGAGAAATAAGAACGATTTACTTTGCTATGGAAAAAAATAAAATAAAAGAGTACTGTATGTTACATGGCCCATGAAATATTGGCAGTATGCTCTTTGGCTTTCATTCGAAGAACTGCGATACTAGAAGACCTCCTTTCGAACTCTGGCTTTGTTTCAAACGCGTGTCCATTGGTAGCCCCAGTAAGAAGAGAGTCAGTGAAGAAATTGTTGAGGGGCATGTGGCTGAACTGATTCTGGTGGTTTGAAAACCCTGTGTAACTGGAATCTGTCCGAGGAGAGTGAGAGTAAGGCGTCATGCAGGAGGAAGTGTCACGTGGTAACATACATGACGTAACCACAGAACCACCACTTGCATTTCCTGCCCACAAGTTGTTCTGAATCTGGAATAGATAAAAATAACAAATATTACATTCGCACTTTCTCAAAGGGCTATTTACTAAAGTCGGGTAAGCTACTCATTATTCGTTCGCATCCAGTAGGCTGTAATTACACTCTGGATACATAAAACTGTGACTGAAAAATAATTATTCAAGAGTTTGTGCTAGCTTATGTACTGGGATAGATCATCAAAGACCATATACGGAACCAAATAAAACCCCGAAAACACATCCATCTCTTCCAGATTCTATTTATAGTCATGATTTTTAAATGCATCTGGAAGATTTAGTCTTAATTCAAAAATTAGGTACTTGTGCTCAGGAACGGGGGTCTAAAATATGGTTTTAAGTTGAAAGCTCATTTCCATTTTTTTCTGACAAAAACATGAAACACCCTCATCTTATGCAGGTTCTGAAATTAGACTCTTGGTGCAGTGGTTTTATTGGAAGTCACTGCTAACATTAGGCTACTTGGTCTGTAAAAATATTTGTGATCAAATTTGTTTTGGAAAAAGGTTGCTTTCTGATTTAAAAAAAATTCCCTTGGTCTTAAATTGTTCTGCAATTCTGAAAAAAACTATATGTTTTAAGCATTTATTTTATTATTCATATATGACACAGTGAATTTGAAACAGACGTGTGACATGTAAAACAAACTTAAGAATTCTAAAACATCGACTATTAGCAAAATGTTGAAAGTGTAGCTGAAAAAAATTAGCAAAAATATCAGATGACAATAATGTAAAAACATTCTATAAAACATCATGTATGTGATGTGAAACTTTAAAAAGTTATGCCCTGAAAATTGTCAGCTCATACTATTAAGTCTTTACAGAAAACAATTTCATATAGTATTATTAACAAATGCAATTTTCTGTAAAGCCACTAGCTCATAAAAGCAAAATTCAGTAGAACTTAGAAAATATGACCTTTATATAGAAACCATCCCAATCTCAATAAGCAACAACTCTGACCACATGCATTACTAAGAAGTACAGAGAAAATCATGACAATTGGCAGGAGCTATGGAAGTGGAAAAGGGAGGAAATGTAGCATGGAATAGCAATTCAGAAAGATGAAGCTTTAGACAATGAAATAAAATTATATACTTTTAAACTTTGGTTTTATGTTTACTTTTGGTTGTGGAAATGAAATCATACTAAGTACCCCGGCTGATCTTGAACTGGCAATGCTTCTGCTCATCTTCCTTAAAGCTGGGATTAGAGGCATATGCTACCATACTAGATGACATGATTTCTACATCCTGATTATAATACATTTTAATTAGAATATGATAGTAGTATATATGATTCAAGGTCATAAAAATAAAACTGGATTTAGGATTTTGACCAATAAACATGCTTTCTTACAATAGTTTTAACTTAAAGATTCAAGGCTAGCAAATGGAATCTCTGATGCAGTTATAAAAAACTCAAATTTAAACTGTACTGGTGATAATATCTTATCTTTGATCAATAGTGCAAAATACGTTTGTAAATCTAACACTGATAGAGGTCATGCTGTCATTCATAAATGATGGTTTCACCAGTTTCAAAGCACAACAGAAAACACATGAACTAATTCCCACCTAAAAAAAAGTTTGAATTAAGGATTTAAAATTTTAAATGAGAAGATAGTAATAGCATACATTTATTTTTGTGCTAAAGAAATTCTTGATTCACAAATGATATTAAAATCTGTTAAAAAATAACCCACTATTGAAGTAAGCCAGACCCAAAGAAACATAGGTTCTATGGTTTCACTTATTTGCAGTAACTAGTATATGTCTGGGACAAGCTATGTACATATGACCAGATAAGATGGTGTTAAGTGAAATGAACCCCAAGATAGGGACACAAGTGGTTTTTTTCTTGCTTGCTATTGTTTCTAGTGTATTTGTAATGTACCATGTGATTTTTTTGTTTCTTTGTATGTTCCTCCCCCATGGTATAACCCCTGTTTTCACTGTATTTGATGTCGGTGCCCTGTATCTTGCATATAAACTTCTCTAAGTTGGGGAGGGGAAGGGAAAAAAAACCAAAGTGCTTAAATAGAGATACAGTTTGACCCATTGTAACAATGAGATGTACAAAACACTATGTTGAAAAATGAACTTTACAATTTAGGCAGGGAGTGGGGAGGGGACAGAGGGGAGTGTAGTTGCGGAGATGGGAGGGAAGAGATGGTAGGGGAAAAACAAAGGAGGAGGTAACAATGCTTGATAAGAAATGTATTCATTACCTTGCTCATGTAACTTAACCCCTCTGTATAGTACTTTTACAATAAAAAAGTATTAAAAGTACCCCACTATATGTCATATATATGTAAGATATATGTGTCTATGCTTATATATATGAATATATATGTTTACCAACTAGGAAAAAAACAGGAAAATAGTTGGAGAAAACAACCATTAATATACATAAACCAAATTAATATACATAAAAAAAAGGAATTAACATTACACCATAAGTAAATTTTTTAAAAATCTATAGAGTCTATTGTACTGAAACAATTAAAGGATAAATGATTTTATTTCAATCTAAACTTCTTAACTGGATCTGATCAATCTTTGATGAAATAATTTCTAAGACATGAACATGCTTCCTATGCTATCAGATTGATAATGAAATCTTCTAGAGCAGTGCTTCAGTTGCATTAAAAGATATCCAGATATTCTGAAGAACTTTTATTTAATCTCATAGAGAATCTGGTACATATTTAGTAATGTGTTATGTTTCTGTAATGTCTCTTACTTTGTCCTTATTCCCCCGTCCATCCCTTGTTCCCTTCCTCCCCCTCCCTCTTTTCTGACTCTTCAGTATCCCTCTCAGCATCTTTCATTTTAAAATGCTCAACTTGCTTTCAATGGACTTAAATGACCTAGTAAATATCCATCCAAATGTTTAGATGCTAATCTAAACTAAGAGAGTATCACCAGTGAACTGTGATTTTAACTCCTTTCAAACAATTCTTCCGGATATTGAAACATTTGATGAAGATGATTATTATTACACCTATGATATCTGACATTAACAATACAGGTCAAACCTGGATATATGAAGAAATTCTATAATAACATGCATAGTTCTATGAGCTACAGTTGCTTACTTATCTAATTATAAATGGTGGCAGGATCTACTGTGAAAACAGAACTCATGATTAGTAATCACAACTCTTCCCTCTACTGGAAACCTAAGAGAACACAGGGGTACTTAATGACATTGACCGAATAAACTGAAAAATCCATGAAAATATAAAATTTGGGCAGATCTATTTTACAACAATAGTCAAAATTGTATGGACAACTTATGCTAATGTACCCATAGTTCATTTCATAATTTCAACTCTAGAATTGCCATACTTACAGAAATCACATTTGCGCTCCTAGACCTTGTTGTGTCTATTTATCTGACTAGCTTTTGCTTTCTCTGTCAAAACTCATTCCACATCACAGATGAATTTTCTTAAGTTTTATGATTTACTATACCACCGTGGGGTCTCTATATAAAAATGGTGGTGGTGATGGTGGTGGTAATAATAATAATAATACAGACAATCATGAAATCTACTGCAATGAGGAAACATTTTCTGTGGTCTTTCTTCCACATGTAAAAATCCTCTACTACATCTTTAATTTTATTCACTTCCCATGATAAGAAGTTATATATTTTAAAGAGAAAGAAACAAAAAAGCAACAGTCCATTTTTCTGGAGAGCTCTAGAAAGGTGAGCTATATTCCTCTGTGACTTTATTTTCCTTAAAATAGTCTGTTTCAAGCATGTGACCATATAAAAATCTTTTCAGGCAACTATGGCACAATCCTCATGTCTCATTACTCCAGATATACTGCTTTAGTCTTTTAAACTATACAATATAACTTCTGAGCTCCATCATGTATGCCATGTCCCTCTGGATATACTTGTGTTCTCAACCTTCACCATTGTCAGTACATGGTATTTATAATAAATCATCACTGTAGAAAAAAATACTTGCTGTAGATTACCTGCTTCTATTAACATTTGAAGGCAATATTGGGTTTAAAAACAAAGTTGTTTTCTTTAAGCTTATAGTTGATGAAATATAGTACTGCCAAGGCAAGTGCTCTCCTGATAAATTTTACTCTAGGTGTGTGCATGAAAGAGCAGTAGAGAACAAGTTTTTAGTTAACTTGCATGCAGGCATTAACAAACGGCATTAAGTAAAACTATACATTACTTCTCAAAAGGCAAGCCCATGAAAATCTCATACTCTGGATTCATTCAAATAAATGCTCCTGTTTTGGGGTATTTTATAGTTACTATAAGGTCAGTCAGTACCAAGCAACAAAAGTTTTGTTTTTTTTTTTTACTCCAAATCTATACAATATTCAAGTTCTGTACAACTGCATCTTTCCCTGGTCTGTTTCTAAAAAGAGAAAGGGGAAAATAGCTTTCACATTTTTTCTTTTGTTATGTTTAAAAGAAGTGAAGAACTTAAAAAAACATTCCATATTTTAGTGTGCTTCCCAACATTTTTTTTTAAGTTCTAGGGGAATGTTCAAAGCACTGTCCAGGAAACTTGGCCAAATACCTCCCATTAGCATGAATGGAAGTTCAGCTGTCTTACTCCCTTCCACTTGAACATGTGCCCCTTAGTGTTTTCCTAAGCAAATAAAAAAAACTGAACCCATAATTATTTTATAATTCTGGGATTATGGGTCAGGATGTTTTCTGATTCATTCTTTTTAAACTGAAACAATTCATTGGCTTTACAGAGACTGAAAGCAAGAGAAAAAAAAAGGAGGGAGAAAAATAAAAATATTGATTAAGAGGTCTTCATGTTAGCTATGTATTTGTAATGAAATAGTATGATAAATCATGGCTATGAAATTATATAATTCATTTATCTTAGAAAATTGATATACATACATTCTTTATGACCAAACTGCAAAGCAGATTTTATTATCCCGAACTTGGTGTACATTTATAATCTATCTGCTTACTTTAAGTGTAGTGGCTTTC